GTCAGGTCGATGGCGCTGAAAATAACACTGCGGCCCATGGTGTCAAGTACCATATCCTTCCGAAGGATCGGAGTTTGTGCTGGGATGGTGGCGTCGTTTAGCTTGTTAAAAGCGTGAACAATGCGCCAACCACCCGTGGCCTTCTTCACGCAGAACGTCGGACTCGAGTGTGGCGAGGTACTCTCGCGCACGTGACCCGCTTTGCGGCGGCTCTCGAAGAAGTCGCCAATGGCTTTAACCTGATCGCGTGGGAGGGGCCACTGTCGCGTCACACAGTACTTGGAACCCGGCGTGAGATCAATCTCATGGCGAATGCCTATGTCAGCAGGGAGCTCAGCTGGAATCTTGTCGGGAAAAACTTCCGCGAACTCGCGGACGGTGTCGTATACTGGAATGCCCGAGTCGCGGAGTGACTACCACGACTGGGCAGCGAAGCGCTCTTCGCGCGCCGACTTCGGCTCAGCGTTCTTTGGACGAAGTGGAAGATAGTTGGTAGCGACCGTGTGGATCTCTTCCGCCGAGGCAGACACGGTGATCAAGCAGACCTGCTCGATGTCTCCTGACTTCAGATCGCGCAGAAAATGCTTCCAGGAAAGACCCGGAAGGCGTGTGATGGAAGAAGCTTCGCGAGGTGGGCTCTCAATGTCAAGTGTGCGTGAGCGAACGGCGCCTCCTTCCACGTGTTCCAGGACGTGTATGGACTCATTCACTGCGATATCGGCGATGGGCTGACCACGTCGCTTAAGACAGCGTCGCTTGGATTTCTTCTTGTGGCGTCTCGAACCGCTGCTCGAGACAGAAGACTCGCTATCGCTAAACGAGGGATCACCCCCCCCCCTCTAGACACGGAGGGGCACCATCAACCGTGTCGGTAGTGCGCGGGAGCTCTCGATGCTCGACCGCGCCATCGACTGGCGAGAGCCCCTGCTCGATCGCCGTCGTAGCCGGTGGGGGTGTCAACTGCTCGACCACCTCTGTGGATGACGGGAGCTCCAACTGCTCGACCGCCGAATTGCGTTGCGGGAACCTCTGCTCAACCGCTACAGTGTTTTGCGGGAACCCATGCTCAACCGCCTTGGTGTGTTGCGGGAACCAATGCTCGACCGCCGTGTTGCGTGACGGGAACCCATGCTCGACCGCCGTGTTGCGTGACGGGAACCCATGCTCGACCGCCGTGCTGCGTGACGGGAACCCATGCTCGACCGTCGTGTTGCGTGACGGGAACTCATGCTCGACCGCCGTGTTACGTGGCGCAAACCCATGCTCGACCGCCTGCTCGGATTGCGGGAGCCCCTGTTTTACCGCCAAAGTGTCAACAACCTCGCTTCGCAGCGAGGGGTTTTCGCGCAACAGCGCTGTGCAAGACATACAGAGAGGGCCATTGCTCGCTCTCTACTCAACCTGCATTGTGGACAACCGGTCCACGACCCTGACATGGGGCCAGTCCTTCTGGGCAACCAGGAGGTGCGTGAACATTTCACTCACATCGCAGCCAGAGCAGTGTTTAACCGACCGAGCCAACCAGTCAATCTCTGGTTGATATCGTGACAACCACGGAATACCCAAGATGCAGTCGAACGCGTAGTTCATCTCAATCACGAGGAAGTCGTCGTTGCTGCGGAAGCCGTCGAATGTGTACGGCAACGTACCTCGCGCCGCGCAACGCGGCGTGGCTTTCCGTCAGCAAGTTTGACGACGACCTGACCTCGACCATTACGGACTGCGATCTCTCTTGGGAGCATTGATAAGCACGATTCGCGAAAGAAGTTATTCGACGCTCCTGAGTCCAGGAGTGCGCGAAGTGGTTGCCGGGCGCCGGCGACATGAAGACTGACGATGATCAGCCTCGAGTCGCCCGACGTGGTGGTGGCATTAAAGTGTGCGTGGAGCACAGGAGGGCTAGAAGGTTGGGTAGCCACCGGGGGACCCGGACCTCCATTCCAGCCAGCAGGGCGCCCCGCACCTTCTGGCCCTGACCGTTTTTTGACTGAACGGCAGGTGAGACTTCGGCGGTGTGCGCGAGTACCGGCGCTGGCGCGCGGCATTCCGCCGCGCGATGACCGATCTTCCGGCAGCGGAAGCAAGTGAACGGGCGATTAGGATGGCCGTTGGGCCCACGAGAAGTCGACTGACGGTGACTATTCGACGCGTCAATTGCGTCGATCTCCATGGGCTCGGGGGTCGACTCACGAGCTGCCGTAGACATCGCGCGCGCGTAAGACGCCGCCACAACGTAGTCTTCGCGTAATGCGAGGGCGAATGCTTCCTCGAGAGAGGAAGGTTCCGCTCGGGTCAGGCAGTACCGTGCCATGCCCTCACGCATGCCGAATACGAATACATGGACCTGCGATGCTGTGTCAATCGGATTTGTCACGATGCATGACGCGAGGTGGCGAGTCTTTTGAACGTAGTCGCGCATAGTCATTTTACCTTGACGAAGGGCGAAGAACTCGGCACACACGCGGGACTCGTCTTGAGGCGGCTCGAACGCGAGCCTGAGATTTTTCTGGAGAGACTCCAGAGTGGGGAATGCGTCGTGATCAACGACAAGCTTACCGAGGGCCCAATTCCTTGGCCTTCCCGGACAACCGGGACAATAAGAAATTGACCTTTGTCCCTTGCGATTCGATCATTCTCGAAGCAATCGCGATATCGATCTCGCGAAACCACCGGTTCAGCGGGAGGCGATTCGCTCCTTCACCGGAGTAGGTAGACGTCTCTAGCTTCACGACATTATTTTTCAAGGAGCGCGCGGGAGTTGTTGCTCGCCGACTCGCATCGGCTAGCTCGCGTACCATGAACTCTTGGGCTGCTTGGCGTTGTTGGTCGGACGTCGCTGAGCTCAGCAGCGATGCGATTACAGCCTCACCAGACACCGCCGCGAGGCGGTGAAGGGCTTCCCACTCGACACGAGTAAGATGAGGGGAAGCAGCATGTTCCAGGGTCGGCCCTGGAGTTTCAGACGTCATACCTTGGCTCATCGATTTCTACCAATCACAGCTCTAACATATCTTAGCAGCAATCGCTAGCGTTATGAAATGACCAAGTTACGACCAGTGGCCGTCGACCACCAACCTCGCTATATAGGGGGTATCACTATTAAGACGCCACTCCAAAGATGTACTGTAAAACCTATAATTGTACCCCTCCCACAAATAACCCCTTCCCTTTTAAAGCCCCCCTCGGAATTGTCAGATTTCCTCGGCTCACTGCATTGTTTGAAGGCGGTACCGGTAACGAGGGTGCTGAAACGTATTCTAAAAAAGTTGAAAAAGTCAGTAGCCATTCCGACGAAGGAGAGCTAGTCATAGACGGTCTTTAAGTAGGAGGACCCGGCAAAACTTTAACAGATATTTCCGATCAGTACCCGGAGCACTAATTAGTAGTACTCTCAGTAAATGATAGGCTACACTTAGGCAAGGAGGTTACAGAAAGGTTTTTACTCTACCAGTCAAATTTGCTGAATTCTCAGGCCTGGGTTGAATTTCCCGATACAAAAATCAAACGATTTGAAAATCCAGACACAGTTACGAATGGTATTCTGCTGCTCCAGGTAAATCCGATGTCGTACCTTGTCAGCTTTAGTGAACTCAAGTGTTTTGGGTCTACATGACTCGGCCCATTCAATCAACCCATCTTGAAAACTTCGACCAGAACCCACAATATCTTATGAGGATCCAAAGTTTGGTGGTAAATTCCATCCCACCAATGCAATAGCAACTGATGCAGTAGTTTTAGGATCGATCAATGGCTCTTCTGAATAAAGAAGCGACACGATGATATCGTCGGCCAGGCTGGGCTATTTTTAGGTGGTTCAAAGATTGAAATACTACAGTAGCGTGTTACTGATTCCACATTTTGGATTTAATGAACTCAATTTCAGCTAGGTTACTCTCGGTCACTGTGAGGGTACGCGATGAGGGAATTATTCGGGTAGAGGGTATTATTCGGGAATTTCTGTTAGTTTCAACACGACTCACTTGACTGACATTGATTTGTGCCCCCTCTAAAATAAAGCCCCTCCCCCCCCTTAAATAGTACCCCTGTGGGTACTGTACACCGCTCACGCTAATTAGTCGTACCCTGACTAATTGTGGTGTACAGATCGAAGCCCTTTATACTGGGATTTCAGCTGTCCATTTTGTAAAACCTACCTGTCTAATTTTTAAACCGAGCATACTGGAACAAAGAGCTCGATGAGATCTGCTCAAAACCGGTCTTTTTCTTTAGATTTGATCATTTTTGTCGAATATCCCGAATTTGTGATGTCACTAAAGTGCAAATCCACGACTAATTGCGAGCTACGACTAATTAGCGTGAACGGTGTAGCGTAATTCCCCAGGGGCACAATGAAAGGTTTTACAGTATTTTCATCGCAAAATTAAAAACATTGAATTAAGTGAGACTTATTCTCAAAACATTAAATTCGGAATCCGAATTTCGGGTGAGCAATTTAAGAATGACAACCGTAAATAATGCTGAGCTGCAGCGACTGCGGGCGTTTATCGACGCCAGAAAGCGCAGCGTCGAGGAAGCCGAAAAGCGCTACGACGTCCAAGCAGCATTGGTCGAGCTGCGAGAGTTGTCTGCTCCGCTGCACTCCCCCGATCGATTTTCGTCGTCGTGGAAGGTAGCTCTTTTCTTGTTTTTATACTGATCTAACTTCTTAACTGACACGTCGAACACCGTTGCAGAGTCTGTACCTGGAGTCTTTCTACCGTGATGTTACAGCATTCCTGCTGAACTTCGTGTCCGTCCACTTAGAGATCTGCTTCACGGAGCATGACCGGGAGCAAGCGTTCGACGTCTTTTTTGCCCGTGCATTCGTCCCATCCAGCAGAGCCATCGGAGCATTGGCATCAAAGCTTTCCGCCACAAAGACAAGAAAATTGACAACAAATAAAACGGCGGAGGAGGATGCGGAGACTTCAACTACGCAGTGTGTCCGTCTGCTGGAGAAAGCTGTTACTGCTGGCGGAGTGCAGGACGTCGTGACCGAAATGCTGGAACAGGAACAGGTGGGTGCAATGCTTGCAGGTAATGACTTTTGACTAGTTGAGTTGCTACTTAAACTTCTGCAATCTATTTAAGCAATCGATGAGTAATGGTGCAAGTGGCTACCAGGTGCTTATCTCACAGCTCTCATCGCTTCCAGGTACCGTACAGAGCTAACATCCACGTAAAGAAATTCTGCCTAACGTGTTGTGTTTGCTATCTACAATCCTCATATGGATGGCCTGCAGATCTCGTCTACAACAGACGTCAACGCGACACCCCGGCAGTATTTCATCCACGACGATACTTCCCGATGCTTTGCGATAGTTTATTCCGCGGTGTGTTGGAACAAGAAAACCTGGCAAAGCAATCACGCACCTTCCGGATGTTTGCCGACAAACTCATACGCATCGGGCAGACGCAAGCACTTGTGCAGAGCTGGCTGCGCTCTATCGGCACTTCAAACTCGACGACGCATTCCACACTATTCCAGAGCCTCCCACAGTCGTGCCACGAGCAGATTTTACTCCAGCTTTCGCGCGAGAAAACACCTCCTTCTTTGTCTACGCAACAAGCGCTGAGTCTCCCCAAGTACAGGCTGCTTGCTCAGATTCCTCCGGAGCTGTGTGCCAACAAACATTTCCAGCACGTCGTAGCCCACAAGTTGTTGCTCCGGAAGCCGTTTGACGACGACTTCTTCTTCTGGCGCGTCCTTGTTGACGTAATGGGGCGATGCGACGGTGATCGCTGCCACTCGCCACTCGCATCCGTATTTGATGTGGTGCTCACGCGGTGGAGCCAAACCGACTTCGCGGTCAACACTGAGTACACTGTGAACGCTTCAGTGTGTTTCTTCCTCCGCTACAGTCTGCAGAAGCTTTCGAAAGATGGTGGACAGGCCTTCACGCAGCAAGACTGGATCACGAAACTATGCAAGGGAGTCCAAGACCACATGAGCCACTCACTTGAGCGCGTACGAGCGCTAGGTATGCGTGTCGGAGAGAGCTTGTCACACATAATTGCTGCTGAGCAGCCCTTGGACTTTGGTCTACAGGATAAAGACCCCTTTGAGGTATATGGCAGTCCCGTACTGCCTGAAGAGCTCGAGAAGGGCATTACAGACCTGAATTTAGAAGAGCAAGAAGGTTTGCTCGTGCAGTCTACGATTAGAGTAAGCAGTAGCCACGAGAATCCACGTCGACGGAAGCGTTCGAAGAAGCGCTCAACGAAACCATTCACACTTGACCCGGACGAGTTGGTGCTTAGTGATGAAGATGGAGAGGACGCCTCCGACAGTGACGCAGAGTCCGGGTCGAGCTTTGATAGCGCCGACTCCGATTCCGACATGAGCTTGGATGCGTACGACTTGGAGGACGATGAGGAAGACTTGACAGCCAAGCGACCATTGTACCTGAAGGACCTGATTACTGGCCTGTTGTCGGACGATGATCGCGAGAAAACGGAAGCTGCTTTGAACGAGGCTGAGACTTTACTGCGTCGCCAGCCACGAGATCTGAACGACAAAGCACACGAAGTAGCTCGCGCATTACTGCGACTAGAGGACAAGTATAATACGCCACAATTCGTCAAGCTGCGATCCCAGGCTCTAGCGACGGCGTGCGCACTGGCACCAACTCAAACTCTGCCGTATCTGACAAGCCAGGCGCTGGAGCGTGAACAATTGCTGCAATCTCGCATTGACGTGTTGCAGACGATGACGTCAGCAGCCCAGGAATTATCCGACAGAGGAGGCGGCTACCAACACTCAAAGACGCCTAAAGCGCTGCTTAACGAGCAGGTCGACAGCGACTTGAAGACGCGAACAATGCAAAGCCTGAAAACTCGTCGCTGGGGCTACCGACGCGATCCTCTGGTCGCGCCCAAGCGAAACGCCTTTGCTCCGTACGCCTTACCGCCGCTGTTGTTCGGGTACGTCGAGTTCGTGCGCAAGCACTCGGACAGTCCTGCGAAAGTTCGAAGCGAAGTGGAGCAGACGTTTCTAGCGCACTTGCTACACGCTCTTGCGAGCTTCGTAGAGTGTGCGGGTCACGCGCCGCAGACGATTGCGATGGCCAAGTGCTTGCTGGAGTTTGCGTGGGGCGAGCGTTCCAGTACCAACGCTGAGGTGCGTCGCCAGGTACTTTTTAGTGTCAGTCGCGTGCTACTAGTGGTACCGCCAACATTGTTGCGGCAAGAGGTGGGCGAGGCTCTCGCCGAGGTCGCTCCGTGGCTGCATCAAGTGCAGAACCACGATCCGGACGCTGGCTGTCGCGAAGCGGCGCGGCTACTGAGCTCATTCGCGCCGGTGCCGGTGGCCTCGCTCTCGCTAATGTAGACGAATGCTATGTACACTTGTGGCTACCATGGTACAGTATTAGCACCGGCATCATGTTGAAGCCATCATCATCTGCATTTCATTTGTGTACCACACAACCCAATCGTCCTTCGTCGCCCCCTTCTTTTGCTTTTCCGCGATATCAATTTATCGAGAATCAAGCTCAACCTCAAGCTGCCAACTCACAAAGTGGCAACTATCCACATAGCAGTTAGCATCGGTAGCGCGATCTTTACCAGCCAGAGCAGCGGCTTCGTCCCTCGAATTGCGTGAGTCTTTCTGCATCCCGAGTACATTCTGTGTACTCTAACGAGACAAGCTGATCCGCGCGTGAAGAGACGCAAGAGATGGCGACAGTAGAAGACTCGCCTGTAAGCTCTGCCAAGCTGACGGAGCTGGGTAAGGCTCTGGACCAGACGTCTATATCCAATGTCAATGGTAATATATCGCCCGCCGCTTCGCACGAGGCGCCCAGCAGTGAGGTGGACATGGACGCCACCGAAATGCCTAGCACTCCTGCACCCAAACTGCCAGCCAAGAGCCCCAAGAAGCGCGGGCGTACCGATAGTTTAAAGAAGATGCTGCCAGCACCAGCTTCGCAGCGTCATAAGCAAGTGACGAGCTCTCCACAGTCTTCAATGCAAGGAAGCAGCGGCACGGAAGAGGAACCGTCAGCGTCGCCGGCCCCGTCGTGTGACACTCCACCACAGGCACAGTCGCAGCAGCGTCCACACACTCAGCCAGCGAAATTGATGGTGAAAGATCGGAGAGGCAGCGGCATGGGCGTCCCACGAGCGCATTTGATTCTCAACGCAGTGAAGCAGGCGCCGCCAGCGAAGGAAAAATCGAATCCGAGACGGTGGTCGAAGCACGAGGACGAGTCGCTGAGGTTGGCGGTCGAGCGGAGTGGCGAGCGCAACTGGAAAGCCATTGCCGACCAGGTGCCTGGACGGAATCACACGCAGTGTCTGCAGAGGTGGACGAAAGTGCTCAAGCCAGGCTTGATCAAGGTAGAATTGCGGGTGGGTTGAGGGGAGGTAGGGCCAGCTCACTCACTTGTGTGTATGTGTGCGGAATAGGGCCACTGGACCCCGGAAGAAGACGGTAAACTGCGGGAACTGGTGGCGGAAGGCAAAAAGAACTGGGGACAAGTAGCCTCGCTCATTCCTGGACGAACGTGAGCTTGTTGTGTAGAATAACGCTACGAAAAACGCGTGCTAATCGTGTGTGCGACCCAGATCCAAGCAATGTCGAGAGCGTTGGTGTAATCATCTGGACCCCAACATTAACAAGGGGTGAGTCTGGTCTTCACTCTCTGCATGGGGAGGTGGTAGCTGTACTAACCACCCATCGTTCATCTGTTCGCTGAGGTCAGATCTTACACGGAGGATGAAGACAAGATTATCGTCGAAATGCAAGCTAAACTAGGCAATCGCTGGTCCATTATCGCTCAGCAGCTCAAGGTTTGACAGGACACTCGCTCCTCAGCGAAGCATTGGCGTCGGTGTCTCTAACTTCAATGCTTTGACGTGTCGACCTACAGGGCCGAACCGAAGACGCTGTTAAAATTCGCTGGAAATCATTAATGCGCGGACGACGCGCTGCATCCAAAGAAGATAAAACACCTGCAGCAGCTGCTGTGAGCACCGCATCATCTTCTCCTGCCGACGTCGAGCGGCCCCAAGCTAAACCTGCTAAAGCCAGCCCGGTCCAGCAAAAGAATCGTACCCCCGTCACCACAGCAGAGACAGGCCACAACCCGACTGTGAAAAATGAGCGGCAAGTCGCAGCAGAAAGCAAACCGGTGGTCGATGCAGCAGTAGGGAGCATGCCAACTACCGTTTTTGTCAAGAATCAATCAATGTCGCACCCAGATATGGCAGCAGCGATGGGAGCCCCCGTGAATTCGCTACACAACGTGAGTGACCTGGTGGCCGCGTCAATTCACAACTTCCAGATGAGTCAGCGCTTCCATCCGAACTCGGCGGCGCATCCCGGCAATGCCAGTTACCCTGGCAATCCGAATCAATTGGTGACGGGTATTGCACCTGGCAACCAGCAACCGCCTGGTGTGTATGGCATGGCTGATGGGGGATTTAACGTGAACATCCAGCAACAAATGCTACTACAGCAGCATCCGTCGCAGCATATTCAGCACCAGCAAGTACCACCAGCATACCAGTATCCTCAGGGATACACCATGCAGCAGCAAAGTATGGGGGTGATGCCAAACTACGGAGTGCCCACCAACTTCTCGGCGTCAAACCAAATGCAGATGCAGATGCAGATGCCCATGCCGGTATGTCCACTGCACAGGCCCCAGAGTCTCTCTTTATTATGCTTGACTGGGATCTAACGCTTTATTTCTATGCCAGGTATCATCTTCAATGCAGCAGTCGATATCGATGCCTCCGACACCTACGTACTCGTCTCAGGCAATGGCGATGGCAATGGCGAACGCACAGTATCAGCAGCACCAGCAGCATCAGCAGCATCCTCCTCCTGTGCACCAAGGCTTCAGCGGTGCACCGCTTCACCCGCGTGTTGCATCGCTGGGTACGCCTTCCGGGACGTCGTCTATGATCCTTCCCACAAGTAGCGGTGCCAGCAACACTTCCAATGGCATTGGATCCAATGCTGGTCTTCCTCCGTCGTCAGCTGCAGCAGCCGCAGGAGGGAAAGCTCTGAACACTCCACGGGAAGAATGGGGTTCTTCACAGACTCCGCGGTCTCAGATGATTATGACGGAAGGCCACGCATCAGCATACGAGCTGTTCCATCAGCAACGCCTTCGACTAATGTTACAGGAGCGCGATAAGCAGGGGATGTCACTATCATCGGCTCCATCTCCGGGTCAAGCGCTGCTCACAAAAGAACTGGAAGCCAACAAGGAGCGACAAGCTCGACAGGCGATCATGCAGAAGGGCTGGAAGAGTGCCGTCGAGTCGATGGTCTCTTTCAACAGTGTCAGCGTACGAAATCGGATGTTCCATCATGGCTTGAAGCAGTCGATTTATCGCTTGTGTTGCGTGTTTTTTTTTTTGACGTGGTAGGATTTATCAACTCTGGACGATCAGCAACGGTTTGATGGCCTACTGGAGAAGGTTTCATTGTCTGCTTTGGACCCAACAGACGACGAGTTACTGGACCAGACTGTTGACATAATATCAGGAGGTACGTGCTTTAAATGAGCGACTGCGACTGCGAGAGAGGGAGTTGACATTGTGGTGTCTTGGATGCCTGCAGATGACACTGTGGATCTATGACAAGTGCAAGACGTCCACCGACTCTGAAGAGCAGCCCCCCTGCTCGCCTTTTTTTATTTGTACATGGCATCGTGTAAGTTAAAGTTATTGAAATTGATTCGACAGCGGGAAAACTGCATGCATAACTCGAGTCATCAATCTTCAACAGCCTCACTCGCAGCACAACTCGAAACAAAAGGTTGGTACTGAAGCAGTCTACGTCGTCACCTGATGAGTTATCATTGATAACTTATCAAGTCTCTATTCGTCGTCTTCGTCATATTCGTCCTCGTCCTCGTCAGACTCGTCACCATCGACCACAGTAATAGGCAGTGTGGCCACACCATACAATACCAGAGCTGCAATGGCACCGATGACAACGTTACGAGATCCCTTTTGAAAAACCTCCTCGTGCTCCTCGTCTTGAGTGCGCTCCTCAGCTTCCTTCGCACGCTTTTTCTGGGCAACCTCCGACGCCAACTCACGACGACTCCAGTCCAGACTGCGGTAAGGCTTAAGGAAAGCCACTTGCAGCGGCGGTGACACCTTCTTCATGAAGGCGCTGTCCAGAGACGTAGTGAAATAATTGGGCTGGTTCTCCGAGTACATTGCCGCCTCACTGAGACTCGAGGGCTGCTCGCCAGGAGCACCGAAATACGCGTCACGGATTCGCTCCGCCAGCGTAATGAGTAGTGGCGCATGCTGATGCACCGTGGACACCAGTTGCGTGTTGCCCATAGCGTCAACAATGTGGCCGAACACCGCGACGTCCAGAGCACTTGGTTGATCTCCAAAGAAATAAGGCGTGCCGGCGCTCTCGAGCTTCGCGTTGAGTGCTGTGTAGCAGTCACGAGCTATAACGTAGGCCTGTTCCTTTGTCGAGATGCCGTACAAACGTAGCTGCTCCATTGTGTCCAGGTGCATCTTCTTGGGCAAGAAGAGGCTGAGTGGGAACGGGATGTGGCGCTTCATGTGCGGCCGTGTGACCTCGCGATACGTGGCCGAGTCGACCCAGCGACAGTACAACATCACGCGCTGCAGCTTCTCCGACAGCATTGACCGGTACGCGTACGACTCGCTGCGCTGTTGGTCGGTTAAGAACTCGTCGATGTCCTTGTGGAACTGCAGCAATAAAATAACTTAGTTACGAAAACAAATAAAGATAACTAATTGCACGAAGAATCTACTGCCATTACCGTCTGTAAGTGCATTATAATCTCCTCCTTGGGCAACAAAAAGTTGCCATCGCTGAGCTGTGGCAGTTCACCTGTTCATAGCGCAAGAAATACAATTAATTGCACGTTTAAAGCGATCAATGATTGTTTGTAATTCCTCATACCTGTGGCTTCGTACGTCGGGTATTTGGAGTTGTGCACATGCAGTTGAATACCTGCCACACGCAGATAAGCTTGCACGTCCCAGGCTGGCAAGAACTGGTGCAACACGAGTGCTGATCCGAGCTCTCTGGAAGTTTTAGGCGTGCTCTCCAGCTCTGTGGCCTCTATTAGGTCGTCGTGCAGACGGTCGGCATCCGGCCCAAGCGGATGGAAGCGGTCCTCAGGGAACATGTCGACGCACTCGACGCTTGTCCACACGCTGTAATGACCGTCTCCGATCCAATTTGTGTACTACAAATGTGGCAGAACGATTTGTTTAAGTGCGATTCATGCCTGCCATTCCATGCAGTCATTCGCTTTTCCGACGGAGGAGCTACGTTAGGCTAAGGGACTGAGCGAATCGACAACTATGGCGGACAAGGTGCAGATCACGATGGAGAAGATGGTCCCCGAGCTGGAGGACTTGCAGGCTCGCAAAATCTTTTCAGCGGACGAGATCCGTCAGATCGTGGATAAGCGTCGAGGCTTCGAGTACTCGCTGCAGCGCGTGCCACTGCGGAAAATCGACGCCATGCGCTACATCGAGTACGAACTAAAGCTGGACGCGCTACGAGCCGCACGAAAGGAGCGTTTGGGTCTCGTCAAGGTCTCGCTCGGCGATACTGCGGGCACCAAGCGCGTGCACAACATCTTCGACCGCGTGCTGTTCAAGCACCGTGGCAGCGTCGAGCTCTGGCTGCAATATGTGGCGTTCTGCAAGCGAGAAGGAAGCAGTCGAGTGTTGTCCGCTGTGTTCTCCAGAGCGCTGCAGTCGCACCCACGCAGCGCTGAGCTCTGGATCGAAGCCGCGTCCTATGAATTCGGCGTCAACCTCAACGTGGACTCGGCGCGTGTGCTCATGCAGCGTGCGATTCGTCTCAACAAACATAACCAGAAGCTGTGGCTGGAATACTTCCGTCTGGAGCTGCTGTACGTGCAGAAGTTGGCGATGCGGCGTCAAGTGCTGCGTCTGGACGAGGAAGTACCGAAGCCTGTGGATGACGATGGATCCACCGCGCTGATTGACGAGCTTCCGGAAGAAAAAGACGCTAAAGAGGAGATTTCGGAACAGATGGCAGCCAAGATGAACGCTAGAAAGCTCGTTCTGCAGGGTGCCATTGCGAAGATTGTGTACACGAACGCCATTGCGGCGATTCCGGACGACGTGGCGTTCCGACTAAAGTTTGTGGAGATTCGTGACCTTTTCGGCTCACTCACAGCTGCGGAACTGTCAGACTTTATCATACAGGACTGCTTGGAGACTTTCCCGAAGAGCGAAAAGGTCCACGCTACTAAGGCGCTGCGTCCTCTTCTGACAGTGGAGGACAGTGCCGCTTCTCACTCTGGAGAGTCTTCGGAGGTGGATAGTGCTGATATGTCCGAGGCTGAGCGTCAAGCTGAGCTGTTGGTCGTGCAGAACTTCGAGACAAGTATCACGCAGCTGGACTCGGTCTCCATGAAGGAATTTTTCGCCGAGTGGATGGTCGCTCGTCTGGCCTCTTCCAGTCAAACAGCCTTCTTGCTTGAGTATGCGCGCGCCAAGCTGAAAGAGTTTGCTTTCTCGGAGACGTGTGCTTCATCGCCGTCTCTCGCTATCAAGTATGTCGATCTGACTCACCGCACGGACGGTACGAATGACGCGTTTATGGTCGTGCGGAAGATCTGCGACGAGTGTCAGCCACAGTCGTCCGAGATGTGGCTGCTGCAGTCTCAGCTCCTACTCCACTCGGATTACGAAGAAGAGACCACAAGTCGATCGCCTTCTAGTAAGCGACGTCGCACCTCGCGCAGCTCGTATTCGAAGACCGTTAACAGCAACCCCTTGGCTGCTGCCGTTGCGGTACTGAAGACAGCTTTGACCAAGATTGCTACAGAGGATTACGACGCACAGTTTGCTGTTCACAGTCGCCTCCTCCAGCTGCTTATTGGCATTGCAGAGGCTGCAAGCGTCATCGAGAAGGCATTTAAAAACGCACTTGGCGCTCAGAAACGTGGCTCGTCACACTGGAGTGATCTACGTCAGCAGTACGTGACTTGGACTGCTAGCGCAACTTCTCAACGCTCGCTGGAACAGACTCGTGCCTTGTACACCAAGTTCATGGTGGACGAGCAGTTCCTGCCTTCCTCCGAGACATACTCGTTCCTGTTGCTGTGCGTGGACATCGAGACTTCTGCGACGTCAGTGGATGTGCCGCAGGTGCGAAAGCTGTTCGAGAAACTCGTGGAGCTGTTCGGCTCGACCCACGAGGATGTCTGGGTGCAGTATGTGCGCTGTCTGTCTGAGCGTCTGGGGCTTTTCGCCGACGCCACGCGCGTGCAACAGCGAGCACTGCGCGTGTGGAAGGAATCTACGGCACTCATGCAGTACGCCTTCGCGGGCCTGTAGACTGTCGCCAGTGTTGAGACTACATGTAGATAGATTTGTATGCAGGTAAAGCGCCAACCGGTGAGGACCAAATAGACACGTTGCATTCATTCTTCAGCTTCTACCATCACGCACGCAACTTCTGTGGTCCAACATATTTATTAATGAAAGCCATGCATCTAGCACTGCATTTCTGCAATCGCTCGCTGGGTTGACTCATGTCTGTGTTTACCGGGCCTCGAACTGGATGAGACGTTTGGTGCGAGCCTTGTACATGATGCGGTAGCCACAAGCACGGCAACGGATGGGGTCGCGTGCCGACAGGTAGTTGACGATACCGCAGTCACCACAGATGTACTTGATTTCCGGGTCCTTGATCATGGCTGCGCTGCTGCTGGAGCTGGCTCCGGCCGCGGGGGTTGCTCCTCCGTCCATACTGAAGTGCTTCCTCGGTTGATAATTTTCAACTGACCGCTGGCTGTGTGCCAACGACAGGGTTTCAGCCAATGAAAAGAAATACGTCACTGATTCGCTGAAACAAGATGTAGCCATTTACAATTGGCTAATAGCAGTCCTTGCTTCCATTGGCCTACATAGCGCTTCCACCCATTCGGTCTTCCACCGTCAGTAGCTGCTCGAGTTGCCCGTCAACCTGCTGCCACCATGAGCACCATGACGAGCCAAATGCCCACCATGTAAGCGTCTTCACCTTCTGAATTGCACCAGTTTCCTCCGTTAATTTGCGTTGAAAATGCTCAAACGCATGCTTGTCAATGTTTGTCAATGCTCATCTCACTGACCTTCTCCACTTGTCGTCGTTTGCAGTTTGTGTTGCATGTGCGCGACGCCCATTGTGGCGAACGCAGCCAACACGTGCGTGAGCTGCCTCAAGTCACAGGTGGACGTGACTGAAGGTATCCCTAAAGAAGTGATTATCCACCAATGTCGTGGCTGCATGCGCTGGTCTCGTCCACCTTGGGTGGCGGCTGAGCTGGAGTCCCGCGAGCTTCTAGCTATGTGTCTCAAGAAGATCAACAACCTTAACCGCGTCAAGCTCATTGACGCCAACTGGATCTGGACGGAGCCTCACTCGCGTCGTCTCAAACTCAAACTCACAGTGCAGAAGGAAGTGTTGAGCAAGATGATCATGCAGCAATCTTTCGTTGTCACCTTCGTGGTGCGCAACCAGCAGTGTGACGCCTGTCAGGCCTCGTTCGCCAATCAGTCCTGGCGTGCTGTGGTGCAGGTGCGTCAGCGCGTGGACCACAAGCGCACGTTCTTCTTCCTGGAGCAGCTTATTCTGAAGCACCGCGCCCACGAGAAGACCACAAACATCGAGTCTCACCCAGACGGCGTCGATTTCTTTTTCTCAGAACGCAACCACGCACTGCGTTTCGTGGATTTCTTGCAAGAATCTGTCCCCATGAAGGTCAAAACAGCCAAGAAGCTCATTTCAGCTGATAACCACAGCAACACGCACAACTACAAGTTCACGTACGCTGTGGAGATCGCCCCAGTGTGCAAGGACGATCTGGTACTGCTACCAGTGAAGCTGGCGCGTATGCTAGGCAACATGTCTTGTCTGTGTCTCGTGCAGTCCGTCACTTCTTCCATTCACGTTGTCGACCCGTTCACCACCCAAGTGGCCGAGGTCGACTCGGAAAAGTACTGGCGCTATCCGTTCCGTGCGTTGCGATCGATCAAGGCCATGACGGACCTTACAGTTCTGGACTCGAACCCGATGGCGATTCCTTCGGGTGGAGGCCGAGCGATCCGTGTGACTCGCAAGACCCGATTGGCTGATATGGAGGTTGTTCGCGACGCGGATTTCGGCGTGAATGACACGCGATTCCGCACTGTGAGCCACCTCGGCATGCTTCTGCACGTCGGAGACTCTGCTCGTGGGTACGATCTGACGTCTGCGGTTTTTAACGACGCTGATCTGGTGCCGCTGGTGCAGTCGGGTCTGACTCTGCCCGATGTGGTGCTCGTGAAGAAAATGTTCCCTCGTCGCATCCAGAAGCGTGCACGTAACTGGAAGCTGAAGAAGATGGAAGGAGTGGAGCAGGCAGGCCCCGTTCGTAAGGCTGATTTATCCAAGGAAGAGCAGGACTATGAGCAGTTTATGGACGAACTTGAGGAGGACAAGGAGATGCGCTCTCAGATCAACCTGTACAAGGATGAAACCAAGCCGGCTCAGCCTGCGGAGGACGACGACGCGATGGACGAGGACGATGTTGGCGCTCCAGCTGTGGAGCTGCATGAGCTACTCGACGATCTGGCCATGAAGGACGACGATCCTACGCCGCAGATTTTGTCCGAGACCGAAGCTAACCAGACCTCAGCGTGGGAGCTGGAGGAGCTGTAACCAGATTTTACTTTTAGATAACACAGTCTGTTTGATTTGATCAATCTTGCCCTCTTCAAGTTGTTTCTGCGTCAAGTTTAACAGACACAATAGATTCAGAAAGGATATTTGGATTTTTGTGCAAATTTATTGAGTGACAGATCACTTGTCATAATGCGAAACGCTTAGGTAGCTTCAGGGAGCGTCCAGTTGGCGGGCACGGGGCCAACGTCGTTGATAATCTCACGGTGGCATGACCACACGAGCTTGATCGCCTCCGGCGTGCCGATACCGCCGGCACACGGGTCACCGGCCGGGCCGAACCAGTGGTTCTGGGGCGCCCCAGTCGTTCTAGCACGGATACCGCTGTAGGTCGTGCCGTTTACCGTAGCCGACAGCACTTCGTTCGTGAAATCCTGGTCGTTCGAGACCACAGCAGCAGTCAAGTGAGCTTCCATGCGCTCCAGAGCGTCCAGCACTTCCGGTAGCTCGTTGCCGTCGTACTCGGTGATGACCTGGAACGGACCGAAGATCTCCGTGGTCACAAGCTCGAAGTTCTCGGGCTTGACAAACTCCTTAAGCGGTACGAAGATGGCCGTGGGCTTCACAGCTCCGTACTTCTCTGGGATCGTGTGGTTCTCCAGCTCCTCAGCGCCGAATGCAACACGAGCACCTGGAAGCTTCAGCAGAGCCGCAGCGTGGTCAAGCATACGCTTGGTGGAGACCGTGAGCACGGGGCCAATGGTCAGATCCGAGAGCTTTCGTCGAGCAGCAAGCTCCGCAAGCTTCTTCTCCAAACCAGCCTTGGCCCAGTTTTTGTGCATGAAAAGAACCGACTGCGCCGAGCACTTCTGTCCAGAGCAGGCGTACGCATCCTGGAAAAGAGCAAAAACCATTCGTTAAAACTGACTGCTAACAGATAATTCGCTCTTAAAACAAGAGAAACATACCTGGTCGGAGGTCCAGGCCACGTAGTCGAAGTCGCGGACGTCAGGGCCAAGCACCTTCCAGTCAAAACCAGCGTCTTCAAGCTTAATACGGCCACTCAGGTCCTTGGCGAGCTTCTCAGCAACCGCCTGCGAGCTGCAAATCATCAACAAAGTGCACATGACATCTGGGTCAGCTAATATTCACCGGAACAAAGCAAAAACGTACCCTGTGAACAGCGTGTTGCGCGGCTTGATCTGCATCAGCAGGTCGTTCATTACGGCACCGTCAGAGTTAATGAAGTCCACGTCGGTAAGGGGCATGCCACACTCGTGCAACAAACGCAGAGTCTCTTGCATGACGATAGACACCTTGGAGTCCACCTTGAGCAGCACCTTGTTGCCCATGAACAGAGCGCCCATCATCTGAAGCACGGGGATCTCAATGGGGAAGTTAAAGGGCGTGATCAGAGCCACGGGGCCGTACGGCCAGCGGTGGCCGTTGCTCGTCTGGCCCTGGTGGTCGCCCGGCACACCAAATGAGCTCGCCAGGAAGCGCACCTGGTCGCCAGAGAAGTTCTCCAGGAACTTGCCCGTGACCTTAACCTCGTTGCGGGCCTGGAAGTAGCTCTTGGGAGACGTGCGCTGCACCAGCTTGGCAAAGTAGTCGGCCACCTTGTCCTCACGGAACATAGCGCCAGCCTTAGCGCTCACTTCGCCGTACATAACGTAGCGCTCCACATTCTTCAGCGGGTTGTGCAGACCGTGCTTGGGGCAGCTCGTCATGCTCTCCACGAAGGGAGCAAGCTCATTCTTCTGCGTGAGCGGCATGGTCATAAACGCCTCGCCGTTCAGAGGGTCTACGATCGTCTCCGTCTTAGCAGTTTTGGTCCATTCGCCATTCACCAGGTTGAAGCCATCGGTGGGGTTGGCGCCGCTGAAGTCCGGGTCCACCGTAGCGAACGACGGCAGCGACGACATGGTACGAGCGTTCAACGCGCGGCGCGACGTGTGCGCGGAGACTGCGCGCAGGGAGCTGGAGCGCAGCATCTTGTTGCGTATCTTCTGTCTGTCAACGAGACCTGTGGGCTTCGATGCGAATTCCGATCTGACGTTGAGACCGCTGGATCCCAGCAGTTCAACTTCAGCGTTCGCGACGTCACTGTATCGGAGCACACAGCCGATTTCATTAGATATACTAGCAAATGTGTTCTTACAATTAGAAAGCCCTTAAAAAAAAGGCCTGTATTCTTGCTACTCATATCAATGAAGACGTTCTAAGCTTTATAAGAGGTTGATTAGACGTGGCCCACATACCTCGCGTGTACCACACCATGTTTAGACGAGTGCAACATAAACAGAAAAGGTCCCTTGACACCAATGCGGTTTAAGAAGAATGGCCAGGGATGGCAATGAGCGCCGCTCATCTGGGATCTGCCTCTGTTGATAATAGTACCCACTGGGTGCTACCCAGTACATGTAGCAACTTTGCTACTGCTTGTGGTGGCTGTCCAAGTTACTGCGCCCTGTCATATGATAAAGACGTTCTTGACAAATTTTGGACGTGCTACTACTTCAACACTTCAATGAAGTCGGTCTGGCATTGGTTGGCGTGTCGGTAGAGCAAGTCGGTGAAGATCCATGTAAATGCCATGCGGATAATGAAGTTTTACCAGCTTCCATGCTTTTTCAGGCTAGGTCGTTGGTGTTGGAGCAGGGGTACCATGGTTCCTCCGATGATTATGGCGAATTGATCGTTGGGAGTTCCAGCCTGGAAGTGCATTGAGGAGGACGATTTATTTCGGCACCACGGGCTTACACGGTATCCATAAAGTAGTTTATAAGTATCCCATGCCCAGACTCAAGCATTATTCAGAATGCGGTGAAGCGGCTTGTGCTGATTCAGCCCTGCTGAGTAAGAGTCATACTTCCTCGAAGTACATGCACCTCGCAACCACTACATGTAAAAAGTAGTAAATTACGGTCCGTAATACGGAAGCGGTGCTGCGTGAGGGTGCCAACTGCAGCTGATGTTAAGAGGTACATTGCCAAAACTTTCAAAGCCTGACAGTCTAGCAGTAAGCTTAGCGGCAAACCGGTAGCGGCACAAATGGTAGTGATAGAAGCCACCAGCGTGCAGAAAAGTGAGCTTGCGTCGGAGAACCGTAGGCGCATCAAATATGTCGTGGAGATTCAGCTTCGCCAAAGCAGTGTCCTCTCGTGTTCCTATGTCATATCTTTCCACGCGGGCTCGTTGCAGATTCTTGGTCAATACCGGACTGGTCTTGTGTCCGAATCAAACGCGCATGACAATATTCTTGTTCCTCGCCAAGATAGTCTCGGACGCGTTCTGTTTGAAGCTTTCTATCCATGGATATGTCAGTTAGTTGGGCCATCGCTACGTGACCACCAGAGACGGAAACATCGCTGCCACGTTGGAGAGAACTGAGCATTACGCATCAACCGTTATGGTGGAGTCGCCTCCGAAGGGGTGCCACAAGGCCGAAACTGGGCACCATGTCGCCTGTCTTCCATACATGTCATTCTAGGCTAGAATCTAGCTGGCGTCACAGTGCGTCAAGCGAGCTGCTTCGGCGCTCTGCCCGTTCGTTTCCCGATCAAGCGGGCCAGGATGCCCTAAGGTGCCGTGTCGGCTGTGATCTCCTCTATCTACACACGTAATCTTATCCAGGTAACGGCGAACGCTCGCTTCAATCTACGCCAACGCGAGTTGTTGTGTTCCCGCCCAATAAGTGCGCTGACGACCCGACAGTTCCTACGACCGTTTCCTTCATTCATCTAACCACCGACTGGACTTCAGACTCAGCGCACGCCGACTTAAGGCCATCCGGAGACGAATCAGTGCCATTAGTGCTTTCGCGATCTAACAAGAAAGTCGACAAACAGCCAAAGAGCTTTTTCATCCAGATCACTTCGCAATCGTCCGTCAGCTCCTCAGCCATCATGATCACTACCCGCGAGGTCGACCCGTGCGAGTCCAAGATGCTTCAGGCCAAGATGATCCAGAGTGTATCAATCGTCCGCGATACTAGCAATTGCGACAGCAGCGAAATCGACAAGATGAGCAGAAAGGAGCTGGTTCGGCGTGGGGCTGTTGGTCGTCGATCTGCCGTTGTGGCACTTCCATCCGACGTCGTCGCCGCCCTTGCAGAGTTGTCAGAGCTCAAGTGGTGAGCGACTCTGTGCAGACACCATACATGTCCTCGAACCACCCCATTGCAGATAGAAACAGTCTTCAGTGCATGCACGCGCCATGTTCTGGAGCTCGAGGATGATCGGTGCGAGCTGCTATTATTTATCTCCGCTTAGTCACTTCACGTTTACAATCCGTCCAAGGAAATACTGGATGCACAGCCCAACATATACCGACAATATACAGTTCTTCATCTCCGTTTAATTACCCGTGGGCCGTTCTTCAGCTGAAGGAGAAACCCTTTCATCCATGACAACCACTTTCGTCTAAACAGCGTTAGTGCACACGATCTGGATGGAATCAACTTCCAACAATAAGTAGAATGTGTAAATTTATCTGACAAAAGGCCGCGCTAATTAAATATATTTTTTCGAACAACTAGCTCTCGATTCGAAAGTTTCAAATGAACTGACAAACACTCTCGTCCCACTTCAACAACAGACACCAACAGTACTGCAATAAAAAGAAAGAGCGGCGCGAACTGTTTTACTGCAAGTAGATATGTACAAGTCCTGATTGGGCTGTCAAGGCTGTTGCATCCAGCTCTTCTTGCTGCTTCTTGTCCCAAATGAGCGAACTCCGAGGGTCAGTGCGCGCAGTGCGCCGTTTATGAAGCGCACGCAGCTCATTAGTATCCCCACTGAGTACCGTAACGAGGCACGAGTGCTCGGGCAAGTTGCTCTTAATCTTCTGCACGTACGCAGCGATCTCTGAGCGCTCTACCCCGCGTATGCGTGCCCAGGTAAGATGTGGCGGAAACCCTGTCGTCAGTTGATGCACGACTGTCTGCACGACCTCGCCAGGGTCTTCACGCGGGATGATACAAGCCACGCCGCCGCTGAGCGACCTGCAGGCGCGCTGTGAGTCTACGATAAGCACCGACTTCTTTGCTCGAGCCATCTCGTTCACCACTTTCTTCTGTTTGTACTCATGCTCGATGCTCGGGAACGTAGGTCCGTGCTTGATCTTAAGTTGCGCCAACTGCAGTGTAGCAATTGCGTCTTCCACACTGCAATGGCCATCTGTGCCAGTCTGGATGGCTCGGTTGAGATACTGACTCGCCAAAAAGCGCAACGCAGTGCGGAACGGAGGTCCTTTAGGGTGTGGATACAAGCATACAGTATCGATCACTCGACGGTGCAACACCCGAAGCGCTTGCAGGTCATTCTCGATTGAGTGGCCCACCAAGATGGCTTCAGCGGGCACAAGAGCTAAGAACTTGTCTTGGATGTCTGCTAACCGCATGGTCGTAGCCTCCATGATCTCGCATGTGATACCCGAATACCGTGTGCAGTAGTCCACAATGGGGTTCTTTGGACGAACGTATTCGTCCAAAAGAACCTTTTCACTAGCATCTACCAGCGTAAGGCGCGTGAGTTCTACGCCTTTTGTGGTCCGACACATTTCGCAGTCAAGTGCAAGTAGAAGTTGCTCAGCTGACCGTGTCTCACCATCCGCCAAAGGCTTCGTAGAGACGAACTCTGCCACTGCTTTTGCGTCCTCGAACGGGATTGACGACAGATGCATCTTCAGCTCCTCCGGTGACAAAACGTAGAAGTCAGCGCTTGGCTTGGACGTCTCTGAGAGTCACAACAGTCAAATATCAGTTTTAATACAAACAACGAGTTAATATTCAACGCACCTCCAGAGCTCTTTTTAAACTTCTTGATCTTGTTCTTGATAGCCTTCTTGGCTGCGTGTTTCTCCTTTTCAATCTCGTGCTTGGACACAGGAATCTTGAGCAGTGTCGCATCGCATCGAGGAATGCTGTCGCCTTCAGATAGTCGACTGTGAATTTGATAGTCACCTTCCACACCTTCTAGCAATGGGACTTCCTCTGCAATTCCACTATTAATACCATTCGCGACATCACTTGCAGCCTGCTCTGGCCGAATATCCGCCACTTCCTCGCATACAAAAAGCACCGTGTGTTTAAGATCCGTCTGAATGCTGCCCAGCAAATGGTCCATCAACGCATCTCGAATGTCCTGCCCCAACAAGCCTCGTCATTAGTCAGAACCACAAAACTTCAGGAACAGAATAATGGCACGCACTGCGAGGGGAACATTCTTGGTTTCCCCGGCCACCAGATCCTCTAGACTGCTGCGGAGTAGACTGTCAGCCACTTCCTCAATGCTGCGCTTGATCCCTCGCGGTGGCGCCGCGGGATCAGGCGTCGCGGCGGTGAACAGCTCTCCAGCCATTTTCAAGTCCAAATTGTGTCCTCAAATGGAATATGATTGGCTGAAATCGAAGCGACTCTGAACGCCTTACAAAAATCGTCACAACTGGAAGTGACGAATACAGTCGAGGTCGAGTCCACGACTTGTGAGTGGAAGCAGCGGGCGTCCTCTATGGCTGTCAGGAAAGGTTGGGAACGTTTCCTTCCTTTCTCGCAAGAGTTGTAGAGGGGTGAGAGGCATTTGGAGCTTGATTGGCGTGTGGCATTGGCGTGGGCGGCGCGGTTTCGGTCGCCGGTTGGTTTTGGCGAGCCAACTGCGTGGAGTTCTGGCGCTTTAACGTCCCTCGGAATCTTGATGGGGGGATTCAAGGCACTACCTCTTCATTGTAAGGGGGGACGGACAGAGATATCACTCGTTGTTGAGTTTGTGATGGGTGGGGTGGCTTCGGCTGCTCTAGCTGTTGCTGCTTGGTGCGAGAGAGCCTTGCAAGGTCGCGAAGGTGGAGAATTGATCTTCGTGCTCAAAGGGGGTTCACACAGATAGCAGTCTCTCTCGGCTTTCATGCGTGTGGGAAGAGAGAGGGGGTCTTGACAGAGGTCCTAGTTGCTGTCATTGCATGTATTTATTCATACGTGTCGTTATCTCCCGCGACTTGCTCTCCAGAGCGCTGTGCTATTTGTCCTTCGTCGCCATATTGCTGAGCAATTATCAAGTGCCACTTCACTAGTCTTTTGTCTTCTCACGTGGCATGAGCTACCTAAAATCTTTAGTAATCCGATCCAGTGTGCTTACATGATTCATACAATATTTGTAGCCCTCTTTGTTCCTTTTTCTTGTGTTTTTATCCAATCGAATCACTTGCCGCCAACATTACTCGTGAACACAATGCGCTTCCGCGGGACGTTGGCGAAGGACGCGTTGGCTGTGCTGCTGGACGTAGCGCAATCCTTCGCTCGCCTCGGCTCCTCAAGCAGCGCCAAGACCAACTGCGTGTTCACATTAACCCCCGAGACATTATCCATCGCGCTCAAGAGCGGCGGCGCTGAGGAGCTCCAGAGCTTCGCCCGACTGCAGACCGCTCGTCTCTTTCACGACGTCGTGGTGCAGTCCCGGGCCGAGAACCACATCGGATTCCTATGCGATGTACGGCATTTCCAGCAGGCCTTAACGTCAGGAAAAGATGCTAGCGCCGTCATGTTGCGACTACTCAAGCGAGACGGCCACAACTTTCTGTGTCTGAGGACGCGAGCCGTGGATATCGATATCGTGCAGAGCATTCCCATCGAGGTGCTGGCCATGAGCACCGTGGAGCACTACAGAGAGCCCAGTGTACCGGCTCCACAGATCGCAATCGAGATGCCGCCGCTGCGCGCTCTACGCAGCATCGTGGACAGACTCAAGGTCATGCACAAGACCATGACGGTGGAGGCCAGCAAGACGGGGACGCTCATTCTACGCATCGATACACATCCACTCACGCTACAGACTCTGTTCGCACACTTGCGATATCGAGATGATTTGATTGACGAAGATGAGGAGGACGAGGAGGAAGAAGAGCGACGGAGACAACGACGCTCTTCGAGTGTCACAGTTGATAGCAAAGTGCTGAGCAAGGCGATTCTAGTGGATGGACAGTCGACGGACTCGGTGTTGTGTTGTATCACGGAGAATAGGGCTATGGTGTTGCACTCCATTCTCGTGGACTCTTTTGGGTCGTTCACTTGCTACATCCCCGTACTTACACCCGATCTCTGAGCAGAAATCACGGTATCAGAGCTGGAAACACTTTCTGGATACTGCCACTTCGATGAAAGCTGCCAACAACAACGATTTATTAAGTCCTTCTTGACCATCTATTTATCTACCAGTGAAATATGCTGCTCTGAGATCGAGGCTCTGACAAAAAACACGTTTGCGTTTGGGTATCATGCGATGATTTTGCGGCGTGTAAGCGATTTGCCGATGAACGAAGGTGTAGTAGATCGCGACAAAGTGAAGGAATCTTTACTCAAATTTGAGGCAAATTACACCGATGCTTCAGCGATTGGAACGGATTCTGCGACCAGCGGCAAAGATAATGGCGAGCCATGTAGCACACACCACGCCGATGCATGTGTACGCTGCCGTTGTTCCGATACCGAGCTGTCCAGATGCCACAGTCGTTTCTGTTGACGAAGACGAAGCTGCAGATGGAGCCAAAGATTCACTTGCTCCCGCATCGGTTTGATCCTCGGGTTCTTGACTTCTAGAGTGGCTATTTGACGCGAAATCGGACACAGCACTGCCACTAGATGACATAAAGCTCGAAATGGAGCTAGCCACGTCTGATGAGGCAGAAGACTCTGCTCGCTCAAGCAAGAACGATAACTGCGGCTGGACGAATGATCCCAACACGCCTCGATTGGCCACGCTGTCGTTGTAGGATGAATACGTCGTGTCCTCGACTCTATCGTCACCTATCGCGTTCGTGTGCATCCCAACGATATATGTATCCATATTGGTGGACCGGATCAGCATGGGCGAGCCAGCTGATCTCTGTCCGGACACGTCGCAGTCGTGGTGCAGCATGTAATCTGGACCGCTAAACTCACTGGGAAAGTGGATCTTACATAGCTGGAAACATGCACCGCTTTCTCCGTTACACCCGTAGCCAACGAATTGAACGTTCATGGGATCATCTTGTGCAAAAGTGTTCGCTGTCGGCAGGAGAAGATTGTTGGAGGCTCCTAGTTCGGCATCTAACTCGATTAGCACGTATGTGTTGTTCGTCCACTGGACCCAGAAGTCTGACTGCTTGTGTACTCGAGTGACTGATGCCGTTTTGGTTTCTGTTGCTTGAGGTAAAGTAAACTCCGACTTGCTCTGGGCGCTATCGAGCAGTTCACCTTTCGAGTCTAAAACGCATTCTGCGGCTGTCAATGCGATATTTGAAGCGACTAGAGTGGCTGTACACGTGATATCGTTCCACTGCAGCAATCCCACAGCGCTGTAAGGGTATGCGGTAGGGTCAGTTACTTGTTGTCGCCCGTCAGTGCCAAAGATACTGAGTTCACGTGCTTCCTGCTGAGTACTTTGAAGCGGCAATTGTCGGAGATGCTTTCGTATTGTCGAGACGCCGGCGTCGTCCTCTCCTTGGACCACGATACACAACATTATGAACGCCACCAACCAGACAGTTATCACACGCTGAGTCTGCCATCGTCTTTCGAGCCCAAGGAGAAAAAACGAGCTCATAATACGACGTGCAGCCGTCGTCGTGGAAACCTCGTTGTGTCGAATGCCCCACTAACTCACGAGTCGCCTTTGCCACTTCGCAACGCAACAATAGCGCATAGTCCTAATTGGCGTCGCTTCCTTGAATAGCAAAAAGCGCCTGATAGTGGCAAGCGTCGGTAAGGTTCGTTGTCAATTTTTTTCCGTATTTTTTTGTTTCTTGAGCTTTAGTTACAGCAACGCCACATGGCGAGTGTGCAGCCTCAAACTTAACTTCTTTGTCGCAAAGTACGCCTAATACATTTGGAGAGCAAATGTGAACTCTCGCGTGGATGTCAGTCGTTTTGTGAACATCCGTGAACATGAATTGATTAAGATAAAAATGGCAACAGAGGAGATCCTGCAAGTTGCGCAACCTCGACATCGTGGTGGCTTCCAGCAGCTTCAACCTATTCAACTTTGTCCATAGTCAGATCTACTCAATACCGACAATTTTATGAGTTTATTAATTGTAAGTGATGAAGATTACTTTACCATGGAGCGCACGGGTGGCCAGAAACCTAAGCTGCAGCTGTACGTAGCCATTGCGAGCTCGGCTACTTGTGCGCAAACATGTCTCGGAAAATCGCCTCGTACACCTTGATACCGTGCAGGAATGTGTCCTTGTGCAGATGTTCATTGTGCTCATGCAGGAGGATCTCTGTCTTCTTCATGGGAGAGAAGCCAATCGCCTGGACACCAGCTTTGCGGAGATAGCGGCTGTCGGTAGCTGCAGGGAAGATCTCTGTCTCGATCTTCTCACCAATCCGCTCACAGGATTTCTGGACAAGTTGCCACCACACGTTGCCATTATCCAACGACGTAACATAGTGCTCGTGCATTGGCTTCGTCCAGGATGCAAACTCCCAGGAGACCCCCTCTGCAGCACACCATCCGTCCAGTTTCTTTCCCATCGCACTGATGTCCATTTCCGGAGAAATCCGAATGTCAAAGCCAGCAATGGCATTCGTAGGGATCACATTGAGGGCGTGGGTCTTGCCTCCATCCTGAGAAACGCCGCTCTGCAACGCCGTGATGTTGATACTCGTCACATCTCCCAGTTTTTTCTTCTTCATGTCGCCATGCTTGCAACCAGCATCCGCATTAAGAATCTTCTCCTGTTCTTCTCGAAATACCAGAGCTTTGTTGCAAATATCAATAATGATCTTAGATGTTGCTGTGTTTTTAATAAAGCGACTGCCATGTCCAGTGGGACCTTCGGCCTTTACGTAAACCCACCACTGCGCTCGCTCCCCGTAGAAGACAGTGTAGGCGTCTTCCGGGTTCGCGAGACCTTCGTCGAAGGCAAATGCTATCGGTTGGAGCGCCTTGAACTGCTCCGTTTCAATAAATGTACCCATTCCCTGCGCACCTCCAGGCTCTTCGTCCGGCACGAAGAGTAAGTAAATGTTGCGCTCGGGTGTGAACCCCGACGCCTTGAGTGTGTGGACTGCTTCAATGTATTGGATGCAAACGCTCTTCATGTCTTGAGTACCACGACCGAAGATTCGACCGTCCTCCAGGACCTTAGCCTAGCCAGATACACACAGATGTCACTTCAATCGAGCACGCACTAAAATAAAGCAAAAAGGTATCGTCCCACCTCGAAAGGATCGTAGGTCCAGTGCTCTGGTATCGCAGGCACAACGTCGTAATGCGAGTTCAGGATAATACCAGGAAGTGTCGGATCTTCACCCTGCCATGTTGCCTACTCAGCAAGCAAGCACGTTAAACCACGAAGATCCAACTAAGTAAAAGTATCCAGCTGCATACCAGAACTACCGGCTTGTTCTCAACGGGAGAAAACACTTGAGCCGGTAGCCCCACTGCAGCAACAAGCCAGTAAATTTTGAATTCTACAGTAGACGGACGGCACTACAGTGTAGTACACACTTACCCTCTTCGAGATATGCACGCAGCCATTCGGCGCACTTCGAGACAACAAAGGAGTGATTTAAATGTGATGCGACCTCCACAAACATGGTGCGCTGTACCTTTTGGTAGCTGCCACTGGGGCCCTCCGAGCTGACGGTGCGGAAGCGAAGGAACTCGACGAATCGATCGACGGGGTCTTTCATCTCTCACAGAGACTCTCAGTAGTACGATACCGCTGATCCGTGTTTCCTCCTCTGGTTTCTTGATGCAACTGGTATTGTACACGTACCGGCTTTGACCAAGAGTGAGCAGCAAGTCATCAATTAGGTAGTGTACATGTACTACCCGTACTACCTATAATAGTACTTCGAAGTACTACCGAACGCTACTTTTTTCTATTACAGTAACAGTACCAGGCAACCGCTTCAGTTCGCCTCGGCGTACGTGAACATGCGGCGGAACAGCGTCTCGTACACGTCGATGCCACGCAGGAAAGTGTCCTTGTGCAGACACTCGTTGTGTTCGTGGAGCAGAATTTCCGTCTTGTTCATCGGAGAGAAGCCCAGCGCCGGGATGCCGAGCTGGCGGAGGAAACGGCTGTCTGTCGCCGCTGGGAAGACCTCGGTTTCCACAGGAACACCGACATCCTTCGAGCAGACCAATATATTAGCTAATACTACTCTCATTATGGCATTACCAAAGAAAAACGCACCTTGCATCCCTCCTTGAAGAACGTCCACCAAATGTTCGTGTCGTCCACCGACGTCGTGTAGTGTTCATGCAGCGGATTCTTCCACCACGACACAAACTCCCACGATAATCCCTCAGCCGAACACCATTCGTCAAGCATCGCCTTGAGCTTTTTCAAGTCCATGTGAGGCGAGATGCGCACGTCAAAGCCAGCAACAGCCTCAGTTGGAATGACGTTGAGCGCGTGTGTCTTGCCGCCGTCTTGGGACACGCCACTCTGCAGCATGTTGAGGTTTACTGTCGTGACATCGCCAAGGTTTCGCTTCTTGATGTCACCGTGTTTGCAGCCGGAGTCAGCACTCAAAAGAGCCTCTTGCTCTGCACGGAAAGCCAAAGCCTACAGCAACAAACAGAAGGCTTAAAATCTGTAGCTTACAGAAGAGCATGGAGCCGTATGGACCTTGTTGCAGACGTCGATGATCTTGGACGTCGCTGTGTTCTTGATAAAGCGGCTACCATGACCCGTAGGACCTTCAGCCTTCACGTAGAACCACCAGGGTACACGCTCGCCGTAGAATACTGTAAAGACGTCATTGGGGTTGGCCAGACCCTCGTCAAAGGCGAATGCGACGGGCTGGATGGATTTGTACTGCTCACTTGCTAAGAACGCCTCCATACCATCCACGCCGCCAATTTCTTCGTCTGGCACGAACAGGAGGTGAATGTTTCGACTCGGAATGAATCCCTCCGCTTTCAGACGGGAGACAGCCTCCACATACTGCACACCGACACTCTTCATGTCCTGAATGCCACGACCGTAAATCATCCCATCCTCCAGAACTGTCGGCTGCGGTAGCAACAACAAGAACCAACACACCGTGAGCACAGCGAAAGCCTACGAGATATCCAGTGAGAAAGCACACCTTGAAAGGGTCGTGCTGCCAGTGCTCACGAGCAACAGGGACCACGTCGTAGTGCGAGTTGAGTAGGATCGATGGTAGAGAGGAATCCTTCCCTTGCCATGTCGCCTTTAGGCGCAAATAGTGTCAGAAACATACTCAAAACACTCCCTCACTCCATCATGCACCCACCAACACAATTGGTTTGCTCTCCGAGGGCGAGAAAACTTGCACTTTTAGACCAACTACGAACGATGTAAGGTCAATCCACAGACATTATTTGCACAACTCTATGAGACCTTCATACCTTCTTCCAAGTATCTTGTGAGCCATGCCGCGCACTACAGCATGACACAACAATTAATTATCCCCGTATAATTTCGTCTTGTACTCGTGAACGGACCTCGTTGTACGCTCCTTTGGGGCCATCGCCACTGATGGTCGGGATGCGGATGTACTGGAGCAGCCGCTCTACCGAAGACGTCGGTGTTGCCATCGTGGTGCACAAATGAAAAGTGCGAAGGTTTTGACGCATTAAAGTTGCGCTTCAAACGGCCAGTAAAGTTGCAGCAATTGTGCACGTCATTTTTCACATGTCAGAATGGCTGCCAGGAAGACCATCCGCCGCGCTGTACAGCACGAGATCGCGAAGCGCAAGGGCTCGCGCTTTATTTCAGCTGCATGGCCGCTGTCAGGAGGTGGCGACGCAGCTTCGGAGTTGATAAAACAGTACATTGAGACCCAGCGTGGGAAGTTTCCGTCCGCAAACCACCATTGCTACGCCTACACGACAATGGACGGTCGTGAGCTGTGCTCGGACGACGGAGAGCCACATGGCACCGCTGGGAGACCCATTTTGGCTTCGTTACAGCGTGCGCAATTGGTGGACGTCTGTGTCGTAGTGACGAGGGTTTTCGGCGGCGTGAAGCTCGGGCCTGGAGGCCTGATCCGAGCATACGGAGCTGCAGCGCAGGAGGTGATCGAGCAGGCGGAGATCGTTGACAAGGTGCCGACCAAGTTGCTGTATGTGAAGACAAACTTCTCATACGTTGATGTGGTCAAACGGGCGTGCGAAAACTTCACGGCCGAGTTTATATCACAGGAATACGCAAAAAACGCGACGTTCACAGTTAGTGTCCCCGTACTCAACAGTGACGAGTTTGTCGCCTTCATTCGAACGAAATCGTCCGGACAAGTTGAGGTGGAAGAGCTGTAAAACTAATAATTAATACGAGAATACTTCGGAGTATAAGTTAAACCTTCCTCTTCGTACACAGATGTATTGATACTCTCATTGTGACGGACGAAGGGCTGGCAACTCCGTTCGCTTTTCGGGGTAGTTCTCTGTCAGCCACTGGGCGATTTCCTCTTGAGGGTCCATCACTGCAATTATTCCCTCGGTTGTAACTGATCGACAGTCCAATTGCTTGGTATCTTTCAGAAACTTGAGCATCTGAAAGTTGCCACTTGATACAGCTTTCATCATGACGTAGGTGGGGCACTTAAGCGCGCAGAAGTTGAACAGCCACTTGATGACGTCCATGTGGCCGTTCTTGGCTGCCCCTGCCATCGCTGCAGGCGAACATCGCTCCCCACACGTCTCGTACAGCCACTGAACCATCTCCAAGTGACCGTTCGTTGCAGCAGTATCAATAACACAAGCAGAACATGATTCTACGTACGAATCGCGAAGACTTCTAGCCACATTGAGGTGGCCATTGCTCGCAGCATTTTGAAAAGCCTCCGAGACAATTCCCTCGGATCGGTGAGCTAGAAGCCACTTCACCATCTTCAAGTCGCCATTTCCAGCAGCAACATCCAGCGCGAGCTTCGTGCAGCCTTCAGAGCGATTGGTATGCAAGAACTTGACCACTTCCAAGTGTCCGTTCGCTGCCGCTTGATCCATCGCTAGGGCTGTGCATCCTTCACTTCGATTGTCATGTAGCCACTTGACCATGTCAAAGTGACCTGCTTCACTCGCCCAGTCCATAGCTTGTGGTGTGCAGCCTTCATCGCGTGCTCCGTGGAGCCACTGCACGACGTTCAAGTGGTTCTTGTGCGCGGCATAATTGATCGCTGCGGTTGTACACCCTGCCGCTGTATTCTTATGTAGCCACTTCACAACTTCCAGATGTCCGCTCATCGCCGCGTTATCCATTGCCTTTGCTGTGCATCCCTCACGTCGATTTAAATGGAGCCATTGCAGTGCAACCAGGTGTCCGGACCCTGCAGCCAGATCCATTGCGTTAGTGGTGCATCCCACCTTCTTGTTGTCGTGCAACCACCTCACAACCTTCAGATGTCCGTTGCCTGCTGCACGATCCATCGCAGTGACAGTGAACTTCCAATAATTGCTTGTATTCTCACTCAGCCACTTCACCAGCTCAAGGTGCCCGAACTCCGCAGCCAAATCCGGTGCTGGGGTCGGTCCATCCAAAAGTGAGTGGTCCACTAAGAACTTCATCATCTCCATGTCCCCCCGCACTGCGACATCGTCCGCTACATCGAATCTGCGCCTGTGTTTACCATGTTCCAGTACCCATTTCGATATTTCCAAGTGTCCTGCCTTCGCTGGGATACTGATGTCAAACACAATGTTCACGTAATTATCCACAAGCCATTGCACAGTGTGCAAGTCTCCACGTGATGCCGACGTCTCAAACGCCTTGTACACTGCTGCATAGAAGTGCATGCTCATAACGTGGCGCTCGGTCTCGTATACCCACTGAATGAGGGGCAAGTGGCCGCTCTGACCTGCAGCTAGTGCTGTCGCGTCATTCAGAGCCCCTGGGTAGCGTTGATAAAGCTGCTGAACTATCCAGAGCTGGCCAAGCTTAGCTGATGCGAGCATCGCCAGTCGATACTGCTGCATCTTCTCGAATCGACACCGAGTCTTGTCATGATCAAGCAAAGTCAAGACGCGCGTGAAGAGGCGAGAATTGCAATACTGCACGCATCGGGGCAGTGTAAGAGTTTTAGAGGGGAAGAGAAATGCATCCAACTGCTGTAGTATAGTGTAACACGAAAATACGAGGCTGGTTGAGGCACACGACGCGTACGGAGGTTAATACATGTATGGTGGCGCTTATATCCACGTCCATTATGGGTCGGTCAGATGTGGAAAAAAAATATACGTCAGTGTGTGGTTTTGATTGGATGAATATGCTATTCTCGCTCTGGAAATAGATTCCCCGATATGGCGCAGAGGAGTAACCTCGCATTAAGTGGCGACACCGACGCCCAGACACTTGACAGGGACGCCACAGTCACCAATATACCTCTTGGGACGCAGGTGGATTCGTCCACGCCGGAAGCTTCACCTGAATCGACACCTGATCCGCGTGATAGTCGTCTAAACATGGGTTTACCAACACCCACTTCTCCGTCTAACGACGCCTTACCTCGGCCCCACAGTCACGTCCAGCGCTCTACGTCGGACACGGATATGGAGCGACGTACACCTTACGATCCTGCGCTTCGGGGCTTCGTGGGACGCAGTAATAGCTCGTCATTCGACCCCGAGAACGATTCAGAGGACGCTGAACTGCTACGACAGAGGCTACTGGCCGCTGCATTGAGCACACCCGTGAGTGGTGACGCTGTGAGCTCCAGACTTCTGCAGGCTTTGCCTCAACTGACCATTGGCCAGTTCTTACAGGATTTAAACAACCAAACGCCACCGTGGAGAGGCTTCACAACAGGAAGACAGGACTCTGACGAGACTGCAGCTCAAGCTGACGAGACAGGCAGACTTTTACCCACTGAGGGGCGAGGAGAAGGCTCTCCACCGAGGACTCGACGGAGACTGAGCTCCGAGTCGTCCATGTACTCCATGTCAGCCAGTGGAGAGCTGGAACGAAGTGATAGTACTGAGGCTCAATCAGGGAATACAGCAGAAACTACTACTGCTACGCGACCGAATGGACGTACAGGGAGGACGAGACGCAATTCAGACGAAGAAGGCGAAGATCAGACGGCGCTAGACGAACTACAGGCACTTTTCCGCCGATGCCACAACTCGCTCCCGTTTGTGGCGTTATTCCTCATCTACTTTGCGTACCAACACGCGACTGGCATCTTAGTGTTCGTAGTTGGGACCGTGGCAGTGATGGGACTCGATCAGCGCATGCGAGCGCAAGTTGCGCTCAAGGAGAAGGCCAATAGTTGGCATCTTCTCGGAATTGTAGCCATGTGTGCCATTGACATGGTCGCGATATGCTCGGTGGATGGCCAGCCGAATCCTTTGCGTCATTTCTCCCAGATCCTCCACTCAACTACAGCGCAGGGCAGTGGCAGTGACAGTGGACTTGTCTCGACTGGAGGAATCTTCTGGCAGGTGCTGTGGACGGTGCTTGTCAACGGTAATACACTGCATCAGTCGTCAACAGGAGGAAGCGTGCAAGCTGACTAATGCGTTTTCGTGTGTATTACTATGTACAGACTTCCTGATTCGACTCTGGAGTATCGTCGTCAAGGCGTTTGTAGCTGGAGCCAAGTCAGATCGATTCCAGTGCGAAAGGAAGCACAGAGACGACGTTTCGACGAATGAGGATGAGGCTGCTGCGACTATAACGATCGCAGAGGTAGAAGATGAAAGCTCTACGGTGGAGACGCCACTCACGCAGCGTGTAGTGTCGACCGTTGCCTTTTACCGCAGAAAGGTACGAAGGTTCATGGGACGTTGTCATGTTTCTCGATTTCTCGTCACTAACGGGAGGTAATGGACGCGAATGCAGCGGAAGTTGTATGGACTCATCGAGATGTGCTCAATCTTCCTCCGATCGCTGCTCGCCAGTATCCCCTGGTGCAGCTTCTACCAGCTCTGTGCCTCCAAGTTTATGGCCGACGTGTTTACCTTCGCCTACGTCTTTATCAAGGTATGCAAGTGCCGCCATTGCTTACAGACTCGTGCATGTACATCAAAACTAATCAGTTGTTTGGTGAAGGGTTTAATTCTTGCCACTCAAGGCCGACGTATCTTCAACCTCGCACGATCGTTCGTCACGTTGGGGCTTGAGTTCGGAGTATACGTCACCCACGATGAGCTCGTGGAAGCAGGATCTCCAGACTGCTCCATCTGCTACGAGACCATGCGTCAACCTGTCAAGCTCGCGTGCTCGCACATGTTCTGTGAAGAGTGTGTGACGGAATGGTTCGACCACGAGCGTTCGTGTCCTTTATGCCGAGCCAGTGTGGGCTCAGGTCCGTCTGCCGAGGAAAGCGTCAAGCCCCATTTTTTGGACGGTCGCACAAGTCTCGTGCCACAACTTTTGTAGACAAATGACCGACCACGTTGTGCTATTTCTCTCTTGCTGCTCCAATGCTACTGTGTCTCTACTTATATGCAGCTAATGGTGACTGTACCGGGCGCACAAAGCTGTCCCAACGTGAACTGCCGCGACAGAATTCCTTCGAGAACGGCCCACTCCTGCACACTATCGCTGGACGAGTCCATCGCCGTCGAGTCAAGCACGGAGGAAGTCTCAGCTCCACTAGGCGACACAGGCGTTGGGGACCTTGGCGTCAACTCGATCACCTTGAACTGCATACAGACATGGACTTGCACCTGGAAGATTCCTTTCGAGATGTCACTAGTGGTCCGCACCTGCACGGGTCGAGCGTCTTGGGATACAGGGCAAATGGACACGTGCTCTTGTTGACAGAAGAAGCTGATGGCGTCGTAGATGTCGCCGCCACTTTGAGTGCGAGAACTGCCTTGAAGAACTCGCTCGACGAACGCAAGAGCTCGAGCCTCGCAGTTGTTAGCGAACCGATGTGCTGGGGAAGATGGTTGCTGGGTAGCTCCAGGAATTCGGTACTGCGACGTGGTCTCTTGCTCGAACGTCAACACTTTCCTGACCATGTACTTGACCACTTCGGATACGCTGTCGGATTCCATGTTGAAGTCTTCAAAAGGGTTGGCAGCACTGAAGAGATGGCCGTCCAAGAGCACTTTGTCGCGGTCGAGGTCCTTGACAATCTGAATCATACTCAAACTGGCACTTGCACGACGCTGCAGCGTCGACTGATCCAAGCGATTACGAAGCCAACTGAGCGAGACAGACACTGGGAAATGACGTTGCAGTGACTCCCGGTATCGTTCTGCGAGTACCCTCTTGTTAATAAACATAAAAGCCATGTACAAAGTTGAAGATACTTTACCAATTGTCGGAGCTTCTCGAAGAGCGTGTTCAAGTCGATGAAGATGAAATCTGCAGACTCGATCCAAAGCCCAAACCCACTCGTCTACTAGTGTTTCAGCGTCCAGGTCTGCTTTGCCTCCTTCAGAAGATGTCGGGACTTCAAAGATGAACGATTCGTACGGCACAGGAGCTCTGGTGAGGAATAAATCGTCTGCGTCGGTTAGCTGCGTTTTGTAAGGTACGAGCAGTTGGAAATGGTGAAAGATCTTCGCTCTTGCCACTTGCCGACCGTCTATCGCTTGCTCGTTACTAGAGTTGGGCACAAGTCTGCGCACTTGACAGCCTTGCATTCTGATAACTCTAGTGGTTGGCTCAACCTGGAAGGCATCCGAGATCATTCCCATCAACGAAGCTTTAGACGGCAGCGTAAATCTGCCCAATGTCGGACCCGGAGGGTTTGGAGATATGCTGGCACTGTTGGTGGCTGCAGCAGGAGCTTGACGTACTGGAGTCATCTCAAACCTGCTCTGGTCTTCTGACAACGAGCACTGCATCAGTTGAGCAGTTGATCTAGCGCCAAAGAGAGCTTTGACTGCTGTACTGCCGCCTACCACGCCCGGATCGCTCGCTGGAGACGAAGCTAACAGGACCAAGCGCCCGCTTTTGAGGTGGTTGGTAGCGTCGAGCTTCTCTGCACTCAAAGTCTTGATGAGGTTTCCCAGCTCCACGTACAAGACATCCATGCCCGCCTCACTGATCTGGTTCTCGCGCCCCAATCGCTGCACTGAAGTCCACAGCTGACGAACACGCTGACGGGCCTCTCCGTTCAAATGCATCAGCTGCATCGACGCGTTCAGAAAGATGAAACTCTCCTCTGCACGTGTCGGCTTCTCCGTATCTCGATGCACACCAGCGACATTTGCTTCCAGCTCTTGCTGGGCATCAAACCCACTTGGAAAGGGCGCTACCACGGCTCGAATATCGCTGTCTGAGCTCGATCGATTGAAAGTCTTGGAACTGCTAGAGCGCGATAAGCGACGTGGGCTCACAGCTTCCAAGCCTTGAGACTCTACAAGCGCTGGTCCATTCCTCAGAGATCTGCCACTTGAATCGACATCAGACGATGCTCCACCGCCAGGAGAACACTCCACCATGCTACACTGGCCCACGGAACAAAACACGCGACGTCGTACACAGCCGCACCGACCGATATTGCAAACACAGCTCTCGCTCTAACTTACCAAGCAGCCGAAGCGTAAATGGCGAAGACGTTTCAGTCGTCGAAGCTCGGTTGTCTCCTGCAAGAATAGACTCGTACTCCGATTTCGGTGTAACTCTATATATTTTCCCTTTTCTTCAAATGCCCAGCTCTCTGAGCTTCTGCGTGTACCTCCTTGACGCACTCCACGACATAAACCTCGCGGTGGCAGTAGTTTGGTTTAAATGGACAGAAAAAAAACTCAAGTGCTAGTCGTCGTCGCCCATCCGATCCAGCGTCTTTTTTAATACTTCGAATGTAGTCCACGACACCGCCACGGAGGGCGCATGTACCAGTAGACGTGGATAGACCCCCCGGAAGAAGCCCGCGAAGCCTTCCTGCGCCTTAATCTGGACCAGCGCGTCCATCAGCCCGGCGTATTGTCGACGTAAAACAGGCTCTGCCCGCTCAACCTGTGCATGTAGCCATGTTAGTCTACTCATGATGCGTACTCTCAAATGCCGTGCAGCTGCAGCGTACCCCAGCGCGGCCGTTAATCGAGCATGAAGGAGGAACCGTGATGGATACGCCACGCGTCTGGAGCTGCGCACAACGGGTACGAGATGGACACTGTGAATCAGACAGCAAAGAAACAGGAGGGATATGTAAGCAAAGAGGGGCCCTGGGCGGGATGCACAAGAACCTGAAGTTCTGGTTTCGAGAAGCGAGGCGACATCGAAGCCGACTTCACGCGAGACGAGGCACGGGTTCCTACCGAGGCTTCTTCCGTCACCATCATGGACTGAGTCTGCAATCGCGTCTTCGCCACATCCAGCGGGTTCGTCAGCGCGCCAGCCTAGCGTTTGACGCAGCAGTAGCAGGTAAGATAAAGTCCCAAATCTTGCACTAAAATCGATCGTACCAAGGCTCCAGCCGCAGCACCAGACGCGATGTAAGCTGAGACGTTCATTTCTCCCGACGGGTTCAAAATCTTCTTGAAAGTCTCGTTGGCCGACACCATAATCATACTGCAGACAGCCATCCTTTAATACTGCAAATCCATTGGCTGAAATAATGTTGGACCAACGCACCTGTACGGTAGGTTCATCAAGAGCGTCGTGGGGAAACTAATATACAGCGCGCGCAGACCTTCGTGCCTCATAACCTGATATTTGCAATACACCACAGAAATATTACGTGAGCAACTCTAGTAACTTTGATTCAGTGGCGGAGACACAGGGTCCAGCAATATAATCACCACCGTCTTAAAGCAGTCTGCCACTCCATCGTAGTACCCTAACTGTAGACGCTGCTTGACCACCTGCAATAAAAAAATATTTATATGACACGCATGTCAAAATCCATTAAAAATAATACGCCGGAAGATCGCCACGTACATCCATGGGCGTCATGATGAGATCGTGGCACACAGTGGCAATGACACCGGCCGACCCGGAGGCCAAGGGCGTGATCGTGTTCGTATCTGCTCCAAACGCCTTCTTGGCTGCCTCGAACACCGAGAAATACACAGCGTGGGCCGGCAGACTGGCGCCCAGCATGGTGCTGACACCTCTGAAGAGGCGGAACGGCCCTTCCTCCGCTACGAGCTTGCGTGCTGTCTGTGTAGCCGTCAGTTTGACCGGCTTGCCGTTCACAGGACAATGCTGGCACTGCATATGCGTCTGATTTTGGGTGGTAGCAACAGCATAGCGGTTAAGTATCAGTTTGACAGGATAAAGATGGCAACAGTGGTGTGCGCACTTTGATAGTGTCGATAGGAAAAATTGACACGTGCTCGGCCACGCCGGCGACCGAACCAGCCAGCATGTGGTTCACGAAGGAGCCTTTCTCGGGCGTCCACTCCTCCCAGTCCTCATCGAGTGCGGCCATACTCTCTGCTGCTATGTGTGTGGAGCTGCTAGTGGCTTGTCGAGTCGGAGCGAGGTTAGCGATTGCGAGGCTCCCTTTCTTTACAGGCCACACACGGCAATTGGTTTGTGCGTGGTGCACACCGTTGACCGACGATGATTGTTGGATAAAGGTGGCAACCAGCTTTCAGCCAATCAAATGCCGAGAAAGAGTAGGCTCTGTGAGAAATGATTAGAATCACATGAAATAGGGTATATTAATATACAGACAAAAAGTACCAATTATTACAAAGCTAAAAGATTTTATTGGCAGATACCGATGCCGTGTTGGGGAAAAATCGTAATAGACAGGAATTGACGAGCGTGTTAAACCAGGTTTGTGCATAATTCGACCTTGTTGCAGCGATTGCGCTCATACATGATGAATGTTGATCATTCTTGCTTTCCAGCAGTTGCCAGCCTTCAATCCGTGCGGCGACTGCAGATGGATGGCCAGGTGAATGGAGAGTTCTTGTTGCTTACACACGTAGTTGGTAGTTGCCGTCAGTTTTGGATATGAGGTGGCATCACATGGCCACCTCTCCACCACA